TCGATTATCATGGCAAATATATGAGCTTGCCATGAACATATGGCTCATTGTGAGGACAGGCACGGATGGGTCGGTTGGAGAACTGCAGGTTTGTTGAGGGCAGTTAACTTCATGGTACGGATTCATTTATTATTTCTCTTTTAACCACCATCAGTAGTACATGAGCAATAGCATAACATATGATATACAGAATGTGAATCAATGAATACACGTTCAGTTAATGCGACTTCAGATTGTATTCTGCATATATGACCATTTAGTTAACTCTGTATTTACAACTGCTAGGAACCTACCGAGTTGCTTTAAGTATTCACATTTAGGAGTACAATACAGGCGTTTTGGATTCGAAATGTTTGGGCAGTTAGGTATTTATTATCGATATGTGTTATTCTTTGTTTTCTAAAAGCCTCATGATCACAACGAAATAAATGATGAAATTCGTCTGCAATGCCTGCATTTGTGACCATATCGTCCTATTCTGGGACGAGCTGAGTGTAGACTCGTGTCCCTCTCGAAGGTTTCCACATTGGCGTATGAACACGAGTACTACTTCAAACAGGAACGATAAATCTCATTCTACCCGCGTCTAAAAGTAAAATTAATGTTGGCAGCAGGAAGACTTGAGTGAATGTTGTGACACGGAAGCAACTTTTAAATGTATTGTGTTGCTTTCGGCTAGGTATTTGCCCACAGCAACACCAGCATAACTGATTATTCACGCGTGGTGTGGCATATTGTCATTGAATGAGGGCAGGTATTGTAGATTCACCTGTAAATAAGGCCGACACTGTAATGAGATACAACGTACAAATGAGAATATGGGAATTATCATAAGAAGGCTGTTTTTTTCTGAACTGTTCCCATTTTCCTACCAAAAGTGGCAATGCATTTAAAAGTTACATAATATTCACTCAAGTCTTCCTCAATCGACTTCAAACATCATTCCCATTGTTTATTTGGACACCGCATATAATATAATAATTATTTCGAGATTTGAGATATTCAGCCGGACGTTATCCAATGAAAGACGAATGCGTTTTTTTTCACACAATACGCGCATGTCTACCTGTACATCGCACACCTTGTGTCTCTTATGTGCCAAGTGTGATTAATGGAACGTATATGGAACTTATGGGCGAGAATATTTTCCTTTGCTTAAAACTCATGTTTTTTCTTTAACAAATACATAGAGGTTCGTCTACAAGCATCATGACACATGATTCAACACATTTTAACAGAATTCAACAAATTTGTGGAGTTGTTAAAATATTTCGCCCGGGCAGGCCCATGGGAGCATAGTTTAAATTTTGAGTTTTCGAAAGATTTATTTACATTTTTTCTTACTTTTAATGTTCAATTTTGTAAATACCTTTGGCAGAGATGGCGACAGCAAGTACAGTTTCTGGACAAATTGGTTTCCAAATTTAAAATGGGACGTCTTATATATGTAACAGGTAACTTTTAATTGCTAATGTCTTGGTATACCATCAAAAGTGATGTTTACACTGAATGTATTTAACGAAAGCCAAGACAAGCGATGGCTCAAATGAACGCATGTCGCAGTCAAGGGAGCCGATTCTTGAATGTAAACAAACACATGTGAAGATCTGATGAATCTCTCAAATATCATGACCCTACAAGTAACAACATCATTAAATATGACACAATTTTGTCCTCAGTGTACACAGCCGTGTCGAACAGACAATCTACATTTTTCAAAATGGCATAACCAAAAGCGTATTACCAAAATAATTTAAATACTCAGGATTATATTGATGGAAGTACCCGTATCCTGACGCGCTTTCTGATTGGCTTGCGCCGTTTCAACGCATGGCGGCAGTAGTTTATGACCGTACCCTGGAAGCCGGCTCTGTGCATGCGCAAGATGGTGGCACTTCCGGTTCCGTGGAGGGCGGGCGCATCCAAGATGGCGTCACTTTCGGTTCCGGGAGGGCGTGCGTCTCCAAGATGGCGGCAGTTCTGGTCCCGGGGAGGGGCGTGTGACACGCCCTCCCGGAACCAGAAGTGACGCCATCATCGATGCGCACGCCCTCTCCGGAACGGAAGTGCCGCCATCTTGCACATGCGCAGAACCACTCCCGGCTACCAGGGTACTGTCCTCTACTAATGGCGGCCTTCGAGAGGATGACGAGCCTTGTTGTAAGTAACGGAAACATGCGAGTGGTGGCGAATGCAATGCCTGGTGAGTTACATAATTTACATAAGCGATCTTTTGTTCCATCTTCCGGTCTCAATGGGTGGTTTATGGTTTGATGTTCTAAATTTTAGTAGTGGGTATTGTTACACTATCAGTGTTTACCAAATACGACTGAAGTAACACTATCAGTGTTTGCTAAATACGACTGACCCCGTGGAGACCCCGAGGATATGTCAAGTACATATCAAGTGGACAGGTGAATGGTGATTTCATGTCACCTTAAGGGGGACAATTTTAAGTGCCTCGTCATGGACACCACTTGATGGTCAATTTAATCTAAAGTTGATCACACCAAATTTTAGTACCTGTGCAAAACAAAATGTTTCGCATTCCATCAGTACTTTATATACCGGGCGACTTCCAAATACCGGCAGACTTGGTCTCAGCACCCTAAGGTACGGGCGAGTATCTTAGGGGGAGGAAGGAAGGACGGCACACTTCCTTTGACTTGTACATATGCCATTGTAATTAAAACTACGTAATCCTCGAACCGCCTTCTTGAGTTGTTACAGTATGATGCTTATTTTGGTAGCAAAAGCTACTTTTCAAAACTAGGTATATGCTTAAACATTTGTAGTAAAATCATTGTAGCATATTGCGGCTGAAATACGCCAAGTTTGAACAAATTAATCGTTCATTGTTCTTTCAACAGCTGCTACAATCCAGTCTCTTATTAAAATGTCGGGGCGGATAAAACACGGCAGTTAGACCACCAGAGTTCAATTTATCTTCAACAGCGAGAGAGGGGAAGACTTCGAGATAAAAGCTATTTAAGAAGTATAAATGGATTTATTTGTGACTACCACAGAAGTAGAGAATGGAATTATGTCGAATGCAATTCCCTATTTTGACTTGTACCACATGCTCCCGTGCGAGGGAAATTTCATTTTGAAAGGGGCGCCGCTCATTGGTGGCTGGAAAGCAAATGCAAAATGCCGTGAATGAATGTATTAACTAGAATAGTGTTGAATCACCAGCAGTATTTACAGGGGGCATAAATGTAAATTTTATCACAGTGGACAGCGTTGGTCTTTGACTGGCTGTGGCGTAAAAGTCACTCACTCACTAGTGTGGGGAATTGAATGTTCATCCTATTTGTTATTGATGAACAAATGATATTTGTTAAGGATTTATAATAGTGAAATATTAACTACAGCTTTATGTGAGCTGTAGCTATGTTGGAATGATATTTAATCAACATTTTCTATATAAAATTACTTGTTGTTGCCGATTAAACAGTTAAAAACAGTTACAATTTGCAGATGTGTTGGTGTTTAACAGACACACAAAATGAATTGAGGTTGGAGAATAGCATGTTCCTCGCTATTTAAAAGATAGTATATACATACGCCACAGTGAGATTAATGTTTGCGTACTATACAGGTTGTGACTAACGATTAGTCTCTGAAAATGTATAATTTTGATAAAAACAAACAACTATATTTAAATTGAAAAGGAGCCCCAGTGAGAGGGGAGATTCAGACATTGGGACAAGCTAAACTTGCTTAACTGAGAACTATAGCATTACAGTAAGGGCTGGGCGGAAGGGCTAAAAATTTGGTTGGGGGCAGCGAGCATGTATCACCAGAACTCGCGAACGTTATTATCCCGTCTTCTTTCTGGCTAACCGTTCCAACAAATACAGCTGTACGTACGTCGTTTTCGCATCCGTGTCGACTTAACCCGTTTGCGAAAACACACATATATTTTGTAGGCTAATGTATGTGGTGATTATTACCAATGATTATGATCAATTAAAATCAACAACACAAAGACAATAATATTTTCGCTGTTATCTTGCATGAGAAATGATTTTGATTTTATATATTTTGTTTTAAAAATATTGAATATTTCTATGTAATGCCATTAAATCAACTTAAACATTATTGACTGGCACAACAGCAAACACACAGCCCTAAAAATGTCGATCTTGGTGGCGAAGCACTGCCTCATACCGTACATATTATTCATAACTTCGAAACAGAAACAGTCGTGATGGAATATATGCACATTCTCTATGAACTCTTTCCAGAATTAACATTGTTCAGATTGTTTTGTTTGTTTGTTTTTCAACGCCGCACTCAGCTATATTCAAGCTGTATGACGACGGTCTGTAAATAATCGAGTCTGGACCAGACAATTCATTGATTTACATCATGAGCATCGATCCACGCCTTTGGGATACGATGACATGCATCAACCAAGTCAGCGAGCCTGACCACCCGATCCCATTAGTCGCTTCTTACGACAAACAAATCCTGACCCACCGGTGGTACCAATCACTAACACCTGTAAAGATATTTCAGCTAAATGACAAGCATGAGTTGCTGAAGACCAATACTAATCGGGTCTTCACGGGGAAGAAATGCAAATAGAATAGATAGCATTACTGTAATAACGTCATGAAGTCGTGATGGCCATACCAGCTACATCATTTAAGGATTAACCAGTTCAGAAATAACTTACAATAAATAGGTGTACAGTTACCTGCTTCCTTTAAACAGCATCCATATACCACATGATTAATGAATATTTACTATTAAATACTATATTCAGTGGAACTTTACCATATTTCATTGATACCATTTTCGTACAATTTCAGATGCAAGATCGAAAAGTCTTAATTATCGTATGTGGGGCCTGCGTGGTTACATGCTTCATGTACCTTTTCGCGTTGCCATTATATACCGGAAGTCGCGGTTTTGTTTCTCCCCTTGATGAAGGAGTGCGTCAACTTTCATCTCTGAAGGCACACACGTGGGAGGATACCTTGATTGGGAAAATGACATCAGGATCAAACAGGGTTAAGAGTAACTCCTACACAATCTTACAACATGCTTCATCTCGGCTTGTCTTCAATGAAGCCATTACAAAGTACTGGAATCCAAAAGATGGGGTCAATATGGATCTCCCATTCAAATACAAGTCCTTGACAAATTACCCTGTAAATGGAACAAAGCTTATTGTATTTGATAATTGTCCTGACTGGTTGCGCTCATCACTTAAAGGTAAGATGAAGCTATGCAAATACAGCAACTGTTTGTTGTCAGAGAATCGATCAATGATTGCAGAGGCAGACGCAGTGCTCTTCAATGGCAGGTCGATAACCCCGACACCCCCAACCCGCACCCCGGGACAAGTGTGGGTAATATTCGCTTGGGAGAGTCCTGCTAACCTTGCACACACAATGACCACAATGCACACACTGAAATGGAGAAGAGTATTTAATTGGACTATGACATACAGAACAGACTCCGACCTCTTCGCGCCCGTGGGGATGTTTGTACCGACTCTGAAACTCCCCTCGTATCATCATCTTCTGAATATCGTGCAGCGCAAGACGAAGGCAGTTGCTTGGTTTGTTAGCCATTGTAAAACAGCTTCAAGACGAATGGCATATGTCGAAAGGCTAAATAAAATCATTGATATTGACGTATTTGGACGTTGTGGGCCTGAGGAATGTTCAAAATCTAGGCCAGAATGCTTAAACATGCTGAACCATACCTACATGTTTTATTTGTCGTTTGAGAACTCCTTGTGTAAAGACTACATCACGGAGAAGCTGTACAAGACATTCAACGTGCCCTGCGTCCCGATAGTCCGGGGCGGGGCCGACTACAAACACCTAGTACCCAATGGGACGTACATCGATGCAGCTGATTTCTCAAGCCCGGAGTCTCTGGGCTGGCATCTCAAGGGTCTTATGTCTAACACGTCTGCTTACATGGATATACTCATGAGAAAGGAACAGTACAGGGTTTTCATGTCATCTCATGGGAAGCAAATGGCATTTTGTGAACTTTGTTATCGACTGAATAACCCAGGTACTCTGTGGGGCACACACACAGATGTAGAGAAATGGAAAGAAGAATGTCATGCACCAAGAGATCTTGGCTAGGTAGACCAAAAGGCTTAATGTTCGAATAATACATTTACAGATTAATTAAAATACAGTGATTGTTAGAGGCCTTGAAGAGGCGTGAGTATTGCAGGGACGGGGAAACAATTTGTTTTCAATTGAAGCAACAAGTACTAGTGGTTGACGCCACCACAAGCAAATAAGTCCGTGGGTTCGAACCAATGTGCTTTTGGGTTATCATCCTTGGTCAGTGGATGCAATAATCCCGATCATAAGGGATAAACCTCTTTGTCAATTAACGTGCATAAGTCTCAAAATTAAAAGGGCATGTTTTGATATAACTGATCCACTTTTCAAAACGTTGATACTCTCACATTCACTCTGAAGGTTGAGATCTTCTGTAACGACCCAGTTTGTGATTATAAACAGATGTTCAACAAACAACATACATCTCAATATCTAACTATACACAAATAAAATAGTTGAGGACCCCCTGTATATTTTACAATGACTGGTTGTACGAGCGTTGGCATTTAAACCCAAACAACAATAAGCTCGGAAAAACTGATGTTGTTTCATGAAGACACCTCTGACAATAAGAAAACGTAAAAAGTTTATCCTGTTTTTAAATTTTAATCATTATTCTCACAAAAACTCAGAGGCACTGTATTTGTGCAAAACAGGAGCCACAAAAAATATGTAGGTAAAGAATCAGGAACACAATTCACATGACAGCTTGCAGCCTTCCTCTCCTACCTCGAGTATGTCGTCTGATCTGTGGAAGAGGCAACTGCAGCCATTCCCCAATGAAAGCTGCCTCCTATCGGGCCAGAGCATGTACCGATGGGTCCAGTGCCTGTACTCGACGACCCAAAATGTCCTAAATATGATGTTGTGATTAGGTGCAGGTGTACAACAAATGAGGGTACAACAAATGATTGCAGGGCGTTACGAATGTACCGATCATCATTGAGATTTCCTTGAATCCACCTTACGCGTCACAGGCAACCCCAAACCATAACGGAACCTCCACCATACGGTGTCGTAGGTTTTATGTTCCTGGGTGTGTAGGCCATATTTTATCCCTCTTAATCCTTAATCGGCCATCCGTGACGTTGGGAAGGAACCTCTTTTCATTGGACCAATGGACTCTTCGCCAAGTCCTCCGATTCCAAGCTCTCCGGGCCAAACACCATATTAAACGAATTTTCCGATGATGATCGGCAATGAAGGTACGATTGGTTAACCTTCTGGACTTTATATCCGCCGATTTCAGTCGATTCCTCAATGTTCTGGTTGACATCCGTCTATGGGTAGCCATTGGCGTTTCAGAACAGAAGATGTTGCAAATGGTTGACGACGTACAAACTGAAGCAGGTCTATGTCTTCACGCCTTAACGCCATGCGAGGTCTTCCTGGGGGTATCCTCCCAAAACGTAGACCTGCCAAAACGCAGACCCGTTCAAACAACACTCGTTATGGCTGGTTGCATCAGCAATAAGTACCCTGTACCCTTGATTAAGTAAAATGGCATCACCCATGTAACAAGAAAGAAAGCTGGGTAGATTTCACAATTTTTTATTCAAATGTTATGTCATTGTCATTTACGATCATCAGTCATTTTCACTTGTTCATCATCAGTGGACCAACTGCATCCAGGTACTGAAGGGGTGTCTTTTCACGGCGATGAAGCTGTTGCTTGAGTCGGACAAGGCGATGTTCTTTTTCTCTGTAGACAACCTTCCTGGCTGGCGGTGCTGCTCCAAATTGCATCTGCGCTAGTTTCGCTTTAGAGGTCGTTGTAGATTTGCTGGATAGGTGTTGTCTCTTCCCTGGCCCTCTTCCTTATGGCGTGGACAAATCTCACTGCTCGGTCATCACCAGGTGGATGGTTGTGTTATGACGTGCCGCGAACGTAGTCTCTGACTGTGGTGCACTTGCCACTGCAAGATCTGTTCACACACCTCCAGTACACATTTTCATTCTTCGTCCTGTTCTTAGCATATGTGTAGCCGTCTAGAAGAACTTGTGGGGCACCTTTCTGGGACAAGACATACTCAACTTTCCTAAGTCCGGGCATAGCTTAATTGGATGAGGTTGAAGCTTACTTACTTACTTACTTTTATTGGAGATTTAACGTGCGCTTTCCGACTGCAAGCGTATGTCGCACACGGGCCCAGCCAGGCCATTTAATGTGTTTCAAAAAAGGGGAAAAGTGAGTTTGTGCAACCCAGGAGGGGGGCTTTAGGGGTTGCTTATATAGTTATTTTGAAATTTTGGGATTTGGAAAGAATGCCAAGAGTGGGTGGGGGACGAACTAAGGGAGCTGTGTGTGTTGGGTGGTTGTTAGATAAGGTAGTTTTGGTTTTAATATTTTATTTGGGGTTTAATGCGACTAATTAGTCCTGTTTTTATTAGGCATATGCCTAAGGCTTTGAATTTTTCTAATTTATTTTGTGGATTTAGGATTGATTCTAGTGTAAGTCCGGTTTTAAGATTTAGGGTGGTCTGTAGTGTTGTTCGGTGTGTTTGGTAGTGTGTGCAGTGAATGAGTACGTGTTCTGGTGTTTCTTCTTGTTTGCAATGTGGGCAGTTTCCTGTTGTGTGTAGATTAGCTATTTTACGGAGATTACTCAGTTTGGTATGGCCTGTTTGTAGTTTAGTAATTATTCTGTCGATTTTTTTGGATGGGTGTAGTATTTTTGGTTTATTTAGCGTTTTTTTTGAGTACTTTCCTGATTTGGCTATTTGAGTTTTGGTATATATTTTGCCATTTTTTGTTGATTTTTGGTTTAGTGACACTTTTGATTTCTGATTTTGAGCTGGGTAAGTTTAAGCTTATTTCTGGGAGTTTAAGGGATAATTTTGCTGCTTTATCTGCCTTTTCATTTCCAAAGATTCCTACGTGGGCGGGGATCCAAATGAACTCTATTTGTTTACCTACCTTAGTTAAGTTGTTTGAGCTATTGAGTATTTGATTTATTAGTTTGGGGCGGTTTTTAGTGTTTTTATTTTTGAGGGCTTGTAGTCCACTGAGTGAGTCGGTTAGGATGAGAATGTTTTGGTGTTTTTTCGATTGCTGATTGTGTAGTGCTGAGGCCATGCCCATTAGTTCGGCCGTGAGTATGGATTGGTTGTTCGGGAGTCGGTAAGATTGTGTGTTTTTGGTTGGTTGTGCGATGTGGACTCCGAAACCTGTGTGTTTTGAGATCGGATCTGATGATCCGTCTGTGTATATGTGACACCAATTTGGCCAATTTTCATGTATGTATGCTAGTGTGGTTGTTTTAGTGATGTAAGGATCGGTCTGTTTACTTAGTGTATCGGCTAGTGTTGTGTCTATTTTTGGTATTTTAAGTTTTGGAGTGAAGATATTGGATGATTTATTGTTTTGTTTAAGATTATTTATTTTGTGTTCATTTAGGTAATTGGTTATTCTTTGGGAAATTGGAGTAAGTAGTGGATGTTTCCGGGCTAGGGCTTGGTTTCTAGGGCTAATTTTGTTTTTTATTAAGTTTTCGATTAGAGGGTTTGATTGGGACGCGGCCCAGAGGTTTAGGGTAAGTTGTTCCCTACGTAGTTTAAGTGGCATTTCTCCTGTTAAGGCCTAGAGTGAGGTGGAGGATTTGCCATGTTGTGTTCGTGTGATTAGTTTTAGGGCCTGATACTGGATTGAGTCTAGTTTTTTAATGAGGGAGTTGTTTAAGGTGTCGTAAATGGCACTGCCATAGTCTAGTTTGGATCTAATTAGTGATATATAGAGTGAGAGGAGGGTGTTTTAGAGGCCCCCCAGTTGGAGCCGGTTAGGCATCTTAACGTGTGTAGGTCTGCTGCATCTGGTTACTAGGTTTTTAATTTGAGCATCCCAGGTGAGATGTTCATCGAAGATTAATCCTAAGAATTTGGTTTGTTTTTGGAATTTGATTGGTTTGTTGTTTAGTTGGAGGTTTAGGGAGGCGGGTTGCATATTTTTGTGTTTAAATACTATTCCTGTGGTTTTTTCTGAGTTTAGGGAGAAGCCCCATTTGTCAGCCCATTTTTGTATTTTATTTAGAGATTTTTGTAGTAAGTTTTGGGCCATTTTAATGCTTTTAGTGCGGATCCAGAGGGCTCCATCATCCGCGAATTTTGATGTGTTTACTTTGGGGGATAGTCCCTTGAATAGATCGTTAATCATAATATTGAAGAGTGTTGGGCTTAGGATGCTGCCCTTGGGAGTACCATTTTCTAGGGGACATTGGTCCGATAGCGTTTGGTCTATGCCCACGGTGATTTTGCGGTTTGTTAGAAAACTTTGGATGTAGATAATTATTTGACCTTTAAGACCTATTTTTTGTACTTTTTGTATTAGCCCGTTATGCCAAACCAGGTTGTAGCTCATGTTCAAATATATTTATATGTTACACCATAAACAAGAGAAGGAAGTATTAGTGACTGATAACATTTGGTATATTCTTACACAAATCCCACAACTTGTTTAAAGGTAATGTTTGAATAAGATTTGTGATGTACCGGGAGCAGACTAAAGAAAGGAGGAGTTTTTTAAGACAATGTTGTTGTCCACTACTGCTCATTGTCTCAACATATTGATAATCCCTCATAGCAGGGGAGAAGACCAGTCCATTCATTAATTAGGTGTGACCAGCATAGCCCAATTAATTAGTGAGGTAATTTTAACTGCTTTTTGGGAGGTCTGCATTTTGGAGGTCTTCGTTATTGGAGGGAACCTTCCTGGGCGTAGGAGATCCTGTACGGCATTGGTGTGCCCGTGTGTTCGTATCAGTCTGATGATCATATAGACCTATTCTTACCCGAATTATCACGGATCCCCAGTATGTAACAGAGGTATTTGGAAGTACAAGTTTTAGTTTGTATGGTAAATAGGTGTTTTTTATACCGGTAAGCCAGGATTCGGGTGAGACGCCATAATCTGATACATAGTTGAATAGATTTACATACAACGGCAGTAGTAAACTAGCTACATCATTGTGATTATTGTTACTAAGAAAGGTATCAAAATGCAGCAATGGCTAAGTCCT